GGGAGGGGAGAAGGGGAGGAGGCTCTCCCTGTGGGGACTGGTGGTCCACTGCAGCAGGACTTGGCTTGTCACCGTATCCAGCCCCGGAGCCCCTCAGCCCCAGCACGCCCTCCTCCTGGGATGTCCCAGCTGCCAGCCCCTGGCAGTACAAGGGCTGGGGCTGGGATAGGATGGGGAGGGTGAGATAGGGTAGGACAGGATGGGATGAAGGACAGTGGCTGTGAGGTGAACCATCCAGCCAGGCTTACTGCAGGGCAGCTCCAGCCCCACCACAGCTGTGGGGAGGCTGAGGGGCTGTGCTGAAGCTGGGGCCTGGGGGCTTGGAGCAGGGGTCAGAGGTGGCCAGGGGCCCAGGCTTGCCCTGAGCCAGCTCAGCTTCCTCCAGCTATGGGGGCTTGGAGGCTCAGGGGCTGTGGGGCTGGGTGGCTGCACTCACCTTGCCCTGGTCAAAGTATTCAATGATCTGGTTGTACAGAGCCTCCTTGAGCTGGCGCTGGGTGTGCAGGTCGCAGCTGTGCAGGCCTGGCACGGGGGCCGTATTGGGCTCCTCTGACCACTGCATGGGGGAGAGGGGGCCTGTCATGCCAAGTCACCATGGCTGTCCACCCCCCCCAGCCCCTCTGCGCCCACCGTGAGCAGCCGGGCGTGCAGCAGCAGCGTGTAGGCTCCCTCCGTGTAGTTCTCATAGCTGATGTGCAGGTCCTTCAGCTTGTACAGGTACCTGGGAGTGATGGAATTGTGTGTAGGGAGTGACAGTACCACACGTGGGGCCTGACAGCCAGCACAGCTCGGCGTGCAGAGCCCCAGCCCCCTGCCCCTCCAGCTGCTCTGACATTCTCATCCCACTGTGGTCGGGGGGAGCTCGGGGCCCCAGGACTCCCCACCCCAATCTTCCTGGGGCTGCACTCACCTGATGTACATGGCCTGGCGGTTGATCTCCTTGTAGAAGTTCTGGGGAAGAGCAGACAAGGCTGTTTGAGTGGCTCCAGAAGGGACATGTACCACAGCCCCCCACAGTCCCACACTCTGGGTCACGGCGCTGCCAGGACCGTCCCCACACAGAAGGGGCTACCGATGGCACCGGGGAGCTGCACGGCGACTCCCAAGGGACACTGGCTCTGGCAGTGGGTGCTTCCCATCTATGGTGTGCCAGGGGTACTGAGGGGACTTGGGGGGACACAGGGACAAGCCCTGCCAGCTCCAGAGGACTGTGGGAAGGTGGAGGCAAGCCCTACCACCCCAGGGAACTGGGTGGACTTGGAGTTGAGCCCTGCTATCCTCAGGGAGCTGGGGCAGGGCACAGGTGCCCACCAGGAGGTTGACGGTGCAGCTCATGCTGTAGGTCTTGTTCTCATCATTCATGACAGCCCGGTAGTCCAGGAGCCGCTCCAGGAGCGCAGTCACCAGCTCCACGAAGTCCGTCCCAGGCTTGGTCATCTCAGGATGTCTCTGGCAGCAGCTCAGCAGGCTGGGGAAGAGAGGGGACCATGGGTGCCACCGCACACCCAGCTCCACAGTGCTCCCACTACTGCTCTGGTTGGCTTCCCAGGGACTCAGAGTTGGGAGAGAGAAGGCCCTCAACGAGGGGCATAAATCAACCCCTGGTCTGCAGTGAGACCCCCCACAGGCACGGCTGGGATGGTGGGAGACCTGACAGCTCCATCACCCTGCATGGGAACCTGATGAGCACAACAGGGCACGAGTAAAGCCTGGGGATGGCAGAGGCATCACCTGGGGCAGGGGTATCACGTAGGGTATGGGATAGTTCCTAGGGTAGGAACAAGTTCCAAAGCAGGGCAGGGGTAACTCCTGGGGCAGGGGTAACTCCTGGGGCAGAACAAAGGTCATTCCTGGTGTAGAGGCATCACTGGGGACAGGACCATCACCTAGGGCAGAGGCAACATGTGGGGCAGGGGCACTGCTGGGGGGCAGGCAGCAGCAGGATGGCCAGAGCAGCAGAGGTGTGCAGGGGGCACATGATGGTGCTCAGGCACCATCCTTCCTCCTCTCTGGTCCCACTCCCCAGCGGCATTCTCCAGGTCAGGGCACGGTGTGAGGAGGAGTGGGATGGCAGAGAATGGTGAGAGCAAAAGGTCTGTGCCCTGGGGAGAAGGTGGGGATGTCACTGCACACTCACATGCTCCTGAAAAGCTGCTTGTACTGCTCATCCCCACGGCCGCCCTCCACCTCACTGTCCAGCCTGCGCAGAATCTCGTCCTCAAACTGTGGAGGGGGCATGAGGATGGGCTCAGCTTCGCCCCGGTTGCTGCAGCAGCAGCCTCCAGATGTGGGGTCCCAGAGCAGCCCCTTCCCGGGGACCACCTAGCAGGGACAAGTCCCTTTCCCCGCTCCCAGGTCATGCTGCTCCCCTGGTGCAGGCGGTTCCTGCACTGTCCCACCCCATCCTGCTCCCCAGGAGCAGTCCTGTCCCTCACCTGGCTGAAGCTCCCAGTCAGCTGATGCTCGCAGAGCATCATGTCAAAGAAGATGGGGATGGTGGACCTGCGCAGTTCCAGCTCTGGCACCAGTGTCATCTCCAGGATAGGGCCCACCATGCCAGGAATGAACTCGATCTTGCGATGGCCTGGGGAAGGCAGGAAGGGCTGGGGGACAGATCTGCACCCACGCAGGCTTCCATGGCCACAGCGGCAACACCCCGCTCCCCACAGCTGCTCTGATGACGGTGCAGATGGACACCAGCCCACAGAGACCCAACAGCCCCCTGCACACCACGGCTCACCAAGGCTGTGCCACATGTCCCGGATGGACGCTCCAATCGTGGCTCTCATGTCCCCATACCTGCCGGAACAGTGGTCAGTCAGCATCGCTCTGCAGCCCAGGGTGTGGCACACCCTGGCCAGCTCATCCCAAAATCCCTGACCCCACGGTGTGGCAGCAGCCTGGGGCAGGGACCTGAGGTGTTGCTGATCAGTCAGGGTGGACTCACTTGGCCAGGATGCTATTGCGCTTGGCCAGGGAGAAGTTCTCCAGCTGCAGGGACTCCTGGGTGAGGAAGGCCACGGCCAGGTGGAAATAGTTGTTCCAAAGCTGCAGTGAAAGCACAGGGATGAATGTCAGGCTGGGTGGAATGGGGGCTGGGGGAAGCTGGTGGCCAGGGTGTATCCTCTCCTGGACACCCCGTCCCCACCAGGAACTGGCAGTGCCCACTCACCTGCAGCTCGAAGCTGCTGTTGCTCAGGAACATCTTGGTCAAGGTTGTGGCAAACTGGTTGATGGTGCGCAGGAACTCCCTGGGAGCAAGTGGCCACAGCACTGAGCAAGGGCAGCACCACTGTGCCCACTGCCCAACCCAGTGTGCCCACCATCCATGTGCCCACCGCTGTCCCGCAGCGGGGGGTAGGGCAGGGGTTCTTTTTGCCCACTGCAGCGCAGCCAAACACCACCTGGGTGCAGCGGTCCTGTGTGCCTGGAGCTGTGCTCCAGTGTCTGCCTGCCCCGTGCCCAGAGAGGAGCTCCAGGGTCTCACACCCAGCCCCAGCATCTGCCCACAGGCCCCTTCCAGCCCAGGTCCTAACCGGTTCTGCACCATGTTCATCACTACCCAGTCGCAGGGATACACTGTCTTCCC